TACAGAGGGACATGGTTTAGTGGCCATGGAAGTGCTGGGTTGATGGTTGGACCTGATGATCTTAGAGCTCTTTTCCAACCTTAATGATTCTATGACCCCTGGGAGAAGGGAGCATTTGGGTCTCTGGTTCCCAGAGCTGGATTAAGCAGCACCCATCCCACCCCTCCTCCCTGGAGTTTGGGGTGTTTCAGACCCAACCCAGCCCCACCACTTCAGTCAGCACCTGCAGGGGCAACTGATTGGCCAGGAAAGATCCGATGAGGTTCAGGAGGTCTCAACCTTAATGATTCTATGACCCCTGGGAGAAGGGAGCATTTGGGTCTCTGGTTCCCAGAGCTGGATTAAGCAGCACCCATCCCACCCCTCCTCCCTGGAGTTTGGGGTGTTTCAGACCCAACCCAGCCCCACCACTTCAGTCAGCACCTGCAGGGGCAACTGATTGGCCAGGAAAGATCCGATGAGGTTCAGGAGGTCTCCACCCAGCCACCCCAGCAGGAAATACACGGAGAGAGCCCGGTCCATGATGCCAGTTTTGCAGGCTTGGTAAAACTGCCTGCAGCAAGAGAGACACAAACCATAACCCCCAGGCAGTTCAGCACTACCTGGGAGCCACCCCCAGCTGCCCCCACTGCTCCCACCTGGCTCACTTCACAATTTCCACTCCCAGGGGGAGGAAAAGCAGAGATCTCCCCCAGCAAAGCCACGTTCTCCCCTGCAAACCAGCCCCCACGAGAAGTCCTGAGACCCCCCCAGTGCTCACACCAACCTGCTGGGCTCAGGCCAGCCCAGGAGGCTGGGACCCCTCCCTGGTGTGGGCAGAAAGCAGCCAGGGAAAGCACCAGCTGCAGGAACTGCCTCTCTGGTTACAAAATGACCAGATGATACACCCAGACCCAGCACGACCCTCCACGTCCCCTTCTGCCACGGCTGTCCCAGCACTTCCAGGAAGCTCAGTGCTCCTGGAAGTATTTTCTCCCCACAAGTATGACCTGCAATGACCACATTGCAGTTGGCTTACGTGGGTTGTTGCAGCTGCCAAGCTTAATAATAACAACAATATAATGACACAGCGTTGGGGCTGTGCTGCCTGCTCCCTCTCCTCTTGTCAAACCCAAACTCCCCAAGCCCACACTGCTTTTCCCAGGCAGATTTAAGAATTCAGGTGGCTCAGATTGAAGCTGGATGCTCAGGGAGGAGCCTTGTCTGGAGGGAAGGGTTTTGGGGGGGCGAGGCTTACGGGAAAGAGGCAGCTGCAAAGCAGAGGATGGAAACCAGACCCAGGGTGACACTGGCGAGGTCCCGGCCGTCCTGGGCACACTCGTTGAACACTTCCATCACCCAGAGGGAGCCGTTGGGGCAGTCAGAAAGATTCCCAGGCAGGAGACCCCTCCAGCGCCGCGCGTCCATGGCCTCCGGCCCACCGCAGAGAAACTGTTGGGATAACGCTGGGGAGAACACAGGAATGGGGGAAAAAGTTAAATAATGCTGGGAAAAAGAGGTTGGGTTTAGCAACAGGGTCGTGGCTCCTCTGGTTGGTGTTGTAAAAAGCTCATTAGTGGCTAATACACCTTTATTTGGCTTCATTTGGCGTCCGGTGAGATGAGAAAGAAGAAGAAATAAAAGAAGAAATTAAATAAAGAAGGGATAAAGAAATGAAGAAATGAAAAAGATATTAAGAAGAAATGAAGAAGAAATAAAAGAAGAAATGAAATGAAGAAATGAAGAGGAAATGAATAAAAGAAGAAATGACATAAAGAAATGAAGACGAAATAAAGAAATGATGAAGAAATGAAATAAAGGAGAAATAAAGAACTGAAGAAGAAATGAAATGAAATGAAGAAGAAATAATAAAGAAATGAAGAAGACATGAAGAAGAAAAGAAGAAATCAAGAAGAAATAGAAGAAATTAAATTAAGAACTAGAGAAGAAATAACCCCCAGCCTCCCAGCCTTACCTCGCTCACTGACAGCGCTTTTGAAATTGGCCTTTTCTTTGGGGAAATCACCGTTTTTTCAGAAATTTATGTGGCTTTTCCTTTTCTTTCCTCTCTTTTGTCTTTTATTTTCTTTTTGTTTTGCAGATCCACTGCTTCCTGAGCACTGCTTCCCCCCACAACTCCGCCGCTCTCTCAGGAACTCCCTGATCCTCTTCCAACCC